TTTTGTCTAAAAATCCATTCACATAAAAACTGAATTTCCTGAGAAAATTTTGTTTGGAGAGAAAATTTTCACCAAATTCTAATACAAATACTTTTCTTTTTCAACTGTGAGGGCAATAAAGCAGAAAAGCCACTGCATGCAACATAACCTTTCTCTCTCTTAAAATACCTATTGCTGTGCACCTATATTAAATTTTACTCTGACAGCATTTTTGTGGTTTCGGGGATTTGACATACCTGGAGTGTCGTTTCAAAATATTAAAGGATAGATTAATATTGGCAGTTAACTTAGAGGCAACTATGATTCCAAAATCTTTGCCAAAGTAATCCCCAGATTTTCCCCACCCTTTCCATTCCCAAACAAATATAATTATATAAAATTAAAAGATTAGAAAGCCTCTCCACAAACGGCATAACTAGCTGCAGGCAGTGAACTGGAGTACCTTTAATAGCATAGTTTTCAACAGCGCTCACCAAGGCTCGCATACCTTTCTCCTGAAGTCTGTGAAGTGTTTTACACCTGACACACGCAGCCAAATGCTCTCTTTTCCTTATAGATGTGGTGGGTATTTCTGGCATTCCTCAGCCCCCTCAGGGGAAATATCTAGCACTTAAAGCTCTTCTAGTCTCCTGTAGTCAGTGAGTTAAACCCACTGCTCAGAGAGAGATTTGGTCCTGTTTTGGTCAGGTTTCAGCTGAGTTTTACACACAGCCTTACTGGGGTTGGACCTTTTTATGCTTTAGATAATGCTTTTGCACAATTTTCTTCCTGATGGGAAATTTTCTTCTCCAGCAGTGGCAACACCACGATGAGACAAGAATATTAAATTTACAAAGGCTGTTATGAAAAATACAGCAGCAAGCTCATAGGCAATTAAAATAGCAGCTAAAATGAGAATGCAGTTGGCTACACTTTGCAACAAATGCTGCAAAGAGATGTGTGGTAAAGGTTCGTCATTTCTACAAGGGCTGCACACCCACCTCCACGGACCTCGTCCCTCCTGGCTGCTCCCCTCTGAGCTACCAAGGCGCCAACCTGTTTTCCATCCTCAGCCAGGAAATTGAAGCTTTGTGGTCTTGCATCTTGGGTGGAGGCCCAAGATGACACTAAGGGTCGCTAATCTGAATGCTTCGGGCAGCAAATTTACAACATAGCAAATGTTTGTGATGTGCTGCAATGGGAATGTGCTGAGCAATGCAGAGACATAAATTTGAGCCCATCACTACGCACTGAGTATGGAAATGAGACTCTAGAGCTCAAATGTGAGTGTATTGTACCAGCTCTGAAAGAAATGCACCAAAATAGGACCAAGTGGTTCCATACTATGGCAATGGCAGGAAGCAGAGGACTGCAGGGCTGATGATACAACATTTGGCAGCTGCAGCTACTGCTCCCTCATGGGCTGCTGCTCTGAGTGTTGGTCTTAGACCCCATTTTCCTCCTTTCACCCAATCTGTGCCTCACTGTAGCACAGGTAGTAGGAGGAAGGTGAGAGGAGCAGTGGAGCAGCAGATAAAGCAGCTGTAGACAGTGCTGGATGGCACTTTGTGGTGGATACATGGGTGCAGAGCATGAGAGACTCAGTGAGGGGCTTCAGGATAGTGTCTGGCCACCCCACTGGGAAGGCTTGGGGCTTTCACGGCCAAGATAGCTCCAGTGAGAGAAGGGCTGGCTGGGCACCACTAGCCTTGGTCCAAGAGAAACCTTCCACAAGGCTGATCCTTTTGCTTTCCTTTTAATTCATAAGCAGCATTACTAAGATGCGAGTTTACCCTGCTGTACTATATAGCAATATTTTGCATGTGGCCCCACCACATATGAATTAGCAGCCGCCTGTCCCAGCGTCGCATGTGCTTTTTGGGATCGAAACCCAGTGAGTGGGACTCCAGTGGAGCTGGATTTCCCCACCCTGGATTGGTGATACTGTTATGGTCTCTTCAGCTGCCAGCTAACCTTTGGAAATGACAAATATTTACCCTCAAAAACCTACAGTTGAAAAGCAAAAATAAACTTGGCAATTATAAAAGCCGATTTATTGTCTGCAATTATACTGTAGCTGAGGCTTAAAAATTCATGAGAGATGTAAAGAAAAGGACCGATAGGTATGG